AGAGTACAATAAATAGAAGTTTATAACAAAAAAACTAGATCAGTAGCGATTATGTTGCTTTTAAAAAGATTTTTTCACTCGCATTTTACGTCGAGAGGGGGGAGGTGGGCGGGGCCTGAGTCGAAGACGCTTCTCATCGACGCGGCGGATCGGTTCAGTGTCGGTTGCCAGGATTTTAGGGAAAACACAGCCGAGCCGACATGGACGCAGACGGTCCGATCCAATCCGACCTCCTTCTCCTCATCTGCGCGTGTGTCGCCGCGGGGAGTCCGATAGGTGAGTGCAGCCCACTCTAGAACCCCGATGTGTTTCATCCGCATCAATCTGCTGTTTGTTTGAGAGTCGCGGCCCAAAGAGGGATTTGTCAGGTGACCTTTGACCGCCGGGTGAGTCCGTCCTCCAGTCAAAGTGGGAAAACGATAGTTAGTGAAATGACGAGGGGGGGGATTTACATGATTTGGGCCGTCATGAGGCGCCGTAGGGGGCTTCATAAATCTACCGAGCCCCCCTGTCAGGCGACAACTGCGTCCTAGGTCCTAGGTACTACCTCCTGCGTCCTTTTACCTTATTTCTGTGATAAATCATGACGTCACACCAGGTTGGTGACGCCTCACTTTAAGTTTTAGTGTTTCAAAGTCCACCATCGGGTGTGAGTAGTAGTTGAAAAAGGTATTTCAGATAATAAAGGGAACAAATGAGTTCAGTATTATATACAGAAATAAGAAGTGAAACACATTTTATCATATCATATTATCATATTTATCATATTAACTCGTATTGGTTCTGTTCCTTAAGGTACATCCGAAATCAATTGTGCTACCGGTAGCAATGGAAATGTGGGTCAAGTCAATGAAGGATATTCAGGTGAGTAACATTCATTTGTCATGAATGACAATGATATTGCAAAAAGTCACTTTATCTAGCAGGTAATTTAGAAAAATAAAAAAATTAGAAATTCTCTCCAAGATGTGTATCTTTTGAATAATAATTACAGGTATTTCCTGTATGTTTTGTGCAGAATCTTCAGGTAGTTGTAGTTACAAAATATGATTTAGATCCGATACCAAGTCATACCTGCTCCCGAATCAGCAATTGAAATCGGAACAGATCTTCTTATCATTAAAAAGTCAGTTGTTGTACCTTGCACGTGGAGCGAGGAAAGTTCCTAATGAGGTTAACATACATTTATGCCAAAGATGTGGAATGACATTTAAATTCGGCAAAGCTTTTAGCGCTCCGTCTCCCATGATGCTGCAGGGGAGGTGGAGGTGGTGCGGGGGATCACGGGTGGGGTGAAGCTGGTGGCCCACGTCTTCCCCACCCACCTGCAGTTCCTGGAGCTGAGCTTCGCGCCGGGCGACGCCACCGCGACGGTCCGCACCAAGAGGCCGCTGGACGCCGACGCGCTGGCCGCCGTGAGTTGGCGAACGACGTTACTGAAGACGAGACAGACGAATAACTGAAGAGGGTTTCAATGCAGGGGATGAAGAGGAGTTGAATGTTCCATTTAGGCTCCCATGCCTATGTAGGGTCAGGCGTATATATGTAGGCCTACATACCTATATATAAATGTGTCATGCACATGTTACAGCCTCATGTTTCACTCACACTTCCAAACAACACACATCTTGAGGGATCGTCATGGAGACGCTCCAGATAACACGACTCTTGACTCACGTTAGATAACAGTCGAGCCCAGATGGGTCCAATAGGCGCATGTTGCATCATGCTAGGTAATATTTAGCTTAATGTGAAAGGTGCTCGACTACACGCACACAAACACACAGGCCATTGTGTTTTTCTGCGGTAAAAACACAGATTCCCTCCGTAATAAGACGCATTAAGTTCTTCAGGCTTCCTCAGTCCCAGTTAGTCGAGACGTTCCAACGTCAGAAGCACGATTGCGTCTTTCTGTCTGCGCGAGCTCAACATCGGCGCCTTGGTGTCTTTTCAGACCGACAGCACCTTGTATTACTCCATCATGTGCGACGACGTGACGAAGGTGGGTGTCAAAGTGTCAAAGTCGCCATTCACAACGACACGGGACGACAGCACATTTCAGTGTACATTTTTCACCCTCGCAGTACAACAACACCCGGACGCTGAAAATCAACGACCTCAATGACAACAGCCCGATATTTGGACAGAAGAGCTACAGCGCCTCCGTCTCCGAGGTGAGTCACGCACCTTGACGCGGCGGCCATGCACGGGATGCACGCGATGCAGGTGTAATTCTGTCTCGTCCTTCTTCTTTCAGACTCACAGCGTGGACGCCGTGGTTCTCCAGGTGTCGGCTGTGGACGCAGACAGCACGCCAGCCAACAACCGAGTGGCATATTCCATTGTAATTTAATTTTTCGAAGAGCTGCTCCTAACGTTTGAAAACAAGAGGAGTTACAGAGCGTTCCCGTGGTGCTGTTTCAAGGACAACCTTTTAAAGTTGGCCCAACTTCAATCACTTATTCATTTTAAAATGATAATAATGTACTGTTAAAGGGTTGAACGCAACTTACTTCAAAGAATTAGGAATAAAGTTAATTATTACATTTATATTAGAACTTATTTCTGACACCTTTAAAAGATGAAATCAAAATGGTTCATAAATAATACATATGAATCAGTTATTTTCAGTTTGTCATATCGATTTAACAGTTAAACAGCGACAACAAATCAAAGTTTATGGGAAAAGATTTTCACTTTTTGTCAGTGAAGTCACTGTTTCCACTGTGGTCCTCGTCGGTAACAACCCTCATTATGCAAATGTTACTTTCTGTCACAAGGAACCGACTTCCGAGGACTTCATGGTGACCAACTCTGGGGCTTTTATTTTGAAAAGAAGCTTGAACTACAATACAGTCCAAAAGTACGACTTCATTGTGACGGCAAAGGTAACTGAACATATTCACACATGCTCTAGTAATTCAGAGGCGTGAATCGCTGACGGATGTGCGTCTTCACTGCAGGATAACGGCGGCCTGAACGACTCGGCCTCCGTGCTCATCACCGTGGAGGACTTTGATAACCTGAATCCGTATTTCAGCCACAACGTGTACCAGGCCTTTATTCCAGAGAATCAGGTTAGTCTCTGAGGATCAACACTATCGACCCCTAAAGCATATTCCGTTTTGTGGTATATTGTCCTATTTATGGAACCGTAATTTACCAAATCAACATCATGATCTATTGAAGAATATTTGAAAGTAGAGATTGAGACCATGACTCGTGTTCACAATGTTTATTGAGGGAATAAATCACGGTTGAAGTAGACTTCTCGTAGACTTCTATGGGACCAGAGGAGTCGCCCCTGGTGGTCACCAGAGGGAATGCAGCCTTGAGACGCTTCCACGTCGGCTTCACTCTGCGGAACGCGAGGTTCCATAAAATGTTAATAAGTAACCCTGTTATCTTAGTCATCCTGCATTCACCTCCTGTGTGTTTGCTGTGCGTTGTCATAGTTCCTTTATTGGATAAAATCCAAAGAGGATGAGACTCGGAGGGCGTCGTGAAACACCTTTTTTCATTCAGTTAAATCTTCATAACCGTTGTGTAACTCCTCGTGTGTTATATATTTGAGGTCGGTCCTTTCCGGATCCTCGAGCCAGAGGCCATAAAAGCTCAGGACGGAGACTTGGGGATCAACATGACTTTGACTTACAGCATCAGCTCAGGTAAATGACTAAAGGAATAAAGGCTTTGACCTCGGCTCGGCCCCTTCGGGAAGAACCAACGTTGAACGACGTCTTTGTTTGTCCAGTGTCTCCAGACAAGTATTGGACAAACTTCCAGGTGGACTCCAGCAGTGGGGTGGTGTCCGTGCTGACGGCTCTGGACCGAGAGGAGATGGACAGCAGCGTGATCTCCGTCAGCATCAAGGTACCGACGCTTGGGTTCCCCTTGGACAAGAGGACATCAGAGACATCTATTGTGGCGTCATTTGACACATCAAAGACAAGCAGGAGGACGAACACGTGAAAGGGCTTCATCTTTGTTTTTATGTCTGAGGTGAAGATGCGTCTTCGCCGACCTCTTCAGCCTA